AAAACTGTTGAAAATGTGGGTGAAATCTGCAGTATTTCATGTTTAAACATGTGATGCATACCCTGAATGGAAGTCTGACTGATGCTTCACTTTTAATATTTAAGGATTTGTTTTTTCCTTTTTTTTTTACCAGTAGCTCTGCTTACATTGCTATAGAGACCGAAGCTTGTCCCATAATAGAATTTTGACAGCACTAAGAGTAGACTACAAATCACTTTTGTATTACTCTCCCCGCTTTCAGCCTACTCTTCTCCACTCTCGATTGTTCTTCATGTTTTTGTTTTTATTTAGGGCAGCCAAGCATATCTGAAAGTATTAGTCATCTGTCACAGTAACTTTTGTAGACTTACACTCTTCAGGAAGTGAACAGAAGTATGTCATAGTGATCTCTGGACACATTACTGCTTTAATATATTGGCACCTACATTCGGTGTCTTTGAGGGATTATTTATTTATTTTGTAAAAGGTTTTTTTCTGGATAACTTGTGATCTTTTCAGTTCAAAATACAATCAAAATAGCCTTGCTTAATTCTCAGTAATGAACTACAGGCTCCTTTTGCTTTTTATTTCTTCTCTCATTCAGTTTTTAAAACAAAAACACCCTGTTAAATGAAGGATTCTTAGTTCCTAAGGCAGAGCAGAGGCATGTTGATTCACTGACATTTTAAGAGAAGAACTGCCTAGTTCACACACATTTAAAATATTATAGAAAGAGTGGGTGTTTTTGCATGTTATTAGCATCATTGCAGTGAAAATACACACATTTCCATTGGCTTCAACAGGACTCGAGTTCATGCTTTAATACCCAGGCAAAACAGTGGGAGTTAATTTGCCTTACTTAGAATTGAACATTATTAACTCTTTCAGCTGTATAGCCTAAAAAAAATGTTTATCAGCTGACCGTAATATAATAAAATATTGTCAAGGTAGTGGGCCAGTTCTTCAAAAAACAAAGATAGGTACAGGTAGATGGATTGTAGGAAGGAAGAGGGAGAGGCCTGTGGGAAAGTCTGTGTGTGGGGTGGGGAGATGATGGGTAAGGAAAATGGTATGCTAACTTTTTGTTAAGCTTTTAGGGATCCTGACTAAAAGTGTTATGTAACATTGGTTGGTCTCTTTCAGTGTCTAGGCTTGTGTCTTGAGACCTCAATTTAAAATGCTGGTTGTGAAGTGAAGATCACATTTGAGTTTCATGTCTTTGATGGAAATGCCTTTTGAGCTTTAGTTCTACTTCTTTTTTTGTTGATTAAAATAGCTTTTCATGATAGTTCATGTCAGTTCAGCATTTTAATAGCTCTAAAACACACAATCCCAATTTTTGTAAAATTTGAAATTGGATTTCTAAATTTAGTTTAAAGCAAAGTGTGTGTTTTTTTTTTCCCGTCCTTTTGACTCTGATGGTCTAACGGGTTTAAAATGAAAAATGGGGTTTGAAGTGCACAGTTTTCTTTAGAACAGAGAAAGTGGGTGGAAAAAACAGAAAAACAAGTACAGTAAAAGCTGTTTTATCTGGCACTTCACCAACCTGAAAGCTCTATAAACCGGCAGTTCTGATCTTCATTGAAATTCCAGTTTATAGTCTGGTTGGCACGGGGCTGGTTGGGGAGCGGGAAGGGGTGTGGAGTGTGGGCTCTAGAAGGGAGTTTAGGTGTGGGAGGGAGCTTGGGGCAGGGGTTTGGGGCGCAGGGTGCTGGATTCAGGGGCTACTCGCCTCAGGCGGCTCCCCACAAGTGGCAACCTGTTCCGGCTGCTCCTAGGTGGAGGCGCGGCAGGCAGCTCTGTGCACGACCCCAACCCTGCCCCGAGCACTGCCTCCGCAGCTCCCATTGGCTGGGAACCGCGGCCAATGGGAGCTGCAAGGGCGGCGCCTGCAGGCAGAGGCAGTGCACAAAGCTGCCTAGAAGCAGCCGGCACAGGTCGCCTCTTCCGGGAAGTCGCCTGAGGTGAGCGCCCACTGGGTCCGGCACCTCCTTCTGCACCCCAGCACACTGCCCTGAGGCTCCCCCCACCTAACTCCCTCCCAGAGCCCATGATCCCCATGCCCCAACCCCCAGCCTGCACTCCTCCCCTCACCCACACCCACACTCCCTCCCTCTTAATTAACCGGCATTTTTCACTTACCAGCACCCCCATTCCCTCAACATGACTGGATAAAACAGCTTTTATGTAATTCTGGAGTTAGCTTCTCACATGTAATTCTAGCACTGACTGATATTTCCTTGTTCTCATTTGGTTTTTGCTGCAGTACCTGGGACTTTTTATTAGAGATGCATTCTCCTTCTCTCCCCACTTCCCCCCCCCCCTTGAGGAGTAGCTCAATGCTATAGGTCTTTATTTTCATGATTTAAAATATTTAATCTTTGATTGTTATCCAAGTCTCTAGATTATTATAATAGTAGGCATACATCACACAACCAGCATAAAATTAGACACTGATAGTGCCCTGTAGTCAATTGAGGCCCAGGACTAGAATTGCAGGGCTTTTGCAGGTCATGTTGAAAGTGGTTAGGAGAGTTGTTGGGAAGTTTTCAAACTGCAAAATACCTACACTATGCCTATTTCTAGCTAATGCATTGGTAGACTCTTACTGTCTCAAACACTAGATAAGGCACACACGAGTAGGGCGTTAGCACACTTGTTTGAATAGAACAGCAACACCAACTGTGTGGTGAACATTAAGAGAAGATGAGTTCAAATAGAGGATGGAATTGATATGTTTTTAAAAATGCTAATGGCAGTGTATTATAAAACTATTACTAATCGGCACTATTATAATCATATTACCTTTTAATGTACAATAATGGATTAGTCTAAAATACTTCCAAATTAAAGAAACAAAAACCCACAGTGTAGTTAATCAGGTTCTTAGGTGGTTCTGTTCATTGGCTTACCTTAGAGGGGTCAGAGCTGATCAGTGACTAATGAATTCTTGCTCTTTGGCAATAGGTTGGTTTCATCACAGAGACTGTAATTTCAAATATTAGTTCAGATACAAGGGACTGGCTGAATTGCTTATGTGTACATTTACACTGGCTGAGCCAGAGTGTGACACAGATGACCTCTTGAGGCCGTTGTTTTTTTTAAATTAGTCTGTTTATTGGCTTTTAGTATGTTCTGTTAATCCATAAACAGAAACTCTTTAGTTCCCTTGCTTTTAGATTTCGCAGGAACAGCCAAACCTTTCTATATTCAGACAGGAAATCCATAATATACATTAAGCATAAGGTGGGGCTTAAGAACATTGTATTGTTGTGCTTTAAGCCTGTCTACATTAATTTACATTATTCTTGCTATACAGTTTGTTTTTTAAAAAGTCCTAGTTTCTTCCATGTGGTTGTGTGTTAGCAAATATCCAATGACTTTTTTTTTCTAATTTAAAAGAATGCTAAAACATGGATTCAGGTAGGGCAAGATCTAATCTGTCTAGTTGTATGTATGCAAATCAGTCTTTTCTGTGCATTGCTGGTAAGTGTGTCTGTGTGCATACAAGTACATAACTATAGTCTTTAAAAAAAAGTCTTATTTTGACAGACTCCCATCAGCTAAAAATGGATGCTTGCAGTTAGCAAGATTTTAGTTTTTTCCGTAGGATTAAAGAACGTAAATCTCATTCTTCCATATTCAGCAAGTACATCTGGATAACTTTTTTGCCAGTTTCAAACTGTTGCCAGTGTAATTTTTTTCAAAGTACTAAGAGATTCGCCCCTTAATTGCTTGCGGAGTAAGTGCAAACTGTTTTTGAGTTAGAATAATGAAATGAACTCCCAAAACCACTTTAGTTTATGTCCTGTGTTTATGTTACTGTAACTTTAAACTGCCCAGTGCCATTTTGGGGAAAACTTGTAAAGACATGCAGTGCTAAGTTTTAGTTTAGAACAGATTCTTAGAGTAGTTATAAATTTGAAAATAAAGATTTGTAATGGATGTGTTAACAGCCCCCTTATAGTACTGCTTCCAGACACTGCTAGAATGCGTGTGGGGTGTTGTTGTTGTTTTTTGTTTTTTTAAAGAAATTTACAGAAAAACCTGTCAGGAATACTAGTAGTAAATGTAAACACTAGCACTGTTTCTGTCTTTTCCCAGTATATCTGAAGAGGCTATTACTGTGCTGGGACAGAATAAAGCCATGCTGGTAACCAGAATAACTAGCTTGGCTTAATAGCATGATGCCACATGTAAAAGACTACTTTGAAGTCTGTATTGTCAGTATTCTAAACATATTGGTTTAGCCTACCCTGCCAATATACTAACATTGGTTTAAATAAGGTGTTATGTGGTAGTATCTTTAAAAACAAATATTAAACAATGATTTCAGTGAAATAAGATTTTTTGCTTTTGTGCTTTTTCTAGGTACATAAACTTCTGATGCAAAATAATTTTCATACAGTGCCTAAATGTCTGTTTTTAGCAGCTCACCTTTTAAGCATCCCTGTCAGTCATCAGCCCCTGGAGGGCACCAAACAGACCACAGAGCTGCAGAGTGGTCCCTGATGGACACCTGCATGACCGGCTGCTTCGTCAGTATTTCAGGCAATTTGTGAGCTGTTGGGGGGGGAGGAAGCAAAGGGAGGGGGGCAATGAATTAGACTGTTGATAGCGTCCCTACAAAGACTGCTATTAACAGCATGCTATTCTGTGCTTCTCTACTGCAGAAGACAGAGTGATATTCATGTTCCCACAGCATGTTGTAAAATGCATGAGATTTTGCTCATCCTTCTTGGAAATAAGAATAGAAAAATGAGAGCAACCTGAACCAGAAGCTGTTAGAAGAGCATGCAGAAATCTGCAGCAATTTATACTTATTCTTACATTTTTGCCTCCCTAACTATGGATTAGAAGGACTGGCATTTTTGCATTGGGCTTTTTCTATAATGGCATTTTTGTATTGTCTGGCCAGAGCTTGCACAAGAGGAAAACAGGCTGCTGAATTTAGTCACTGATCTCTATTAGCCGTGGCCTAAGGCTATGCTGAGGTTCATATCCCATTTGTATTGTTGCAGCTCAAAAGAAGAATGTTCAGAGGATGACAAGTGTATTCTGAGTAGGTAGGTTGTTTCCTTTTCATATGAAACCCATTTTTTTTCCTGCTACCATTGGTCAGAAATCAGGTTAATAGGAACAGAATGAAGCACAGTGCTGCAAGCACAGTACTGCAGTGTCCCTGTTAAGGTAGAACAATAGCATTACAATAGCTTTAAAAAAATCTTCGCTGGTTTAATTAAATAAAGCTGCATTGTGCTGGTTTGCACAGTGCAGTCTTTTCTTTCTTTCTTTTTTTTTTTTAAACATATACTGCAGTCAACGCTTCCCTAACGAGGTGGCACTATTGTTGAGTTAGAGCGATAGAATCATCATACTGCTTTAGGGGACAGCAGGATTTAAAAGGAGATGCCTCACAGCCCTATTTTACAGATTGGAAGCATCGGTTTAAGGGCATTGGCAGAATCGCTTGCTTGTTCTTAGCAGCAGCCACTGCTGTGTCAGTAGTGTGTGGAATGGAAGTCCTAGTTGGTAGTCTGTTATGGAAACGCTGTTTACTGTTATTGTAGTACCGTGGTGACAACATGCCATTGAAATGGAAAACGAGCTCTCCTGCTATCTGGAAATTCCCAGTTCCTGTGCTTAAAACATCCAGGTCATCGCCACTTTCTCCAGCATACATGTAAGTGAGAGAAATGAGGATAAATAAGGTGGGATTTCTTTCATGAGACTACCATTTGGCAAAATACCCTGTTATATATTTAATGACATTGGCACTCAGAATTTTACCTTATTTTTTCTTTCTATATATACCGTCTCAAATGTTACCTTCTTATTGTTTTCATGGTAGGTGTTGTCAAGTCTTCCCTTTGTTGAAATGCAGAGAAATTGTGCAGATTTAATCATATTTACAAATATTTTTAACTTTTCATTTGAAAAGTTCAAGTTATCATAGATTTGTAATACAGATCTCGGATCAATAAGTCTAAGCATCTAGGCAGGCTTTTATTTGTGGCATATATTCTAAAGATAAATAGCTCTCTGATTGTTAGACATTGAATATAGAATCACCTGCTATATTGTTGTGCGCTTTTGTGTCTGTTTTAGTTATGGAATGGTACATCTTGACTTAAGTCTTGCTTTTATCCTTTACAGTCATACTCTTTAAGAATTTAACATCTCACACTTTTAAAAAAATACTTGAAATAAAAGCATGAAGGTTAAAACATTTTTTTTATTGTGTGATACTTACATGTAAAATGTGTATGCATTTGTTTATGCAGTTTGTTCACTCACAGTAGGTTCTAGATACATGTGCATGCATTTTAATAGATACATAAAATGTATATGCCTGAGTTTCTTGGCAACTCTTAGTAAAGCTTATACTTCAGCTTCTGATTATGGTTGTAAATTTTGTATTAGTGTATACAGGTGGCTTGTTTTGCTTTAGCAATCTGAAATAAAGCTTAATCTTGATTAAGTACACAGTTTTTCCTCTTTAAGTGCTGTTATGGCATTTTTCTTTAAATCAGGAAGATTATTAAAAACAAACAGCTTAAGTACATTTGATATTGCACACAACATATGCTATGAAGAAAATTAATGGAATAAAAAGTTACTTTTAGTAGTATTCCTTAGTATAATAGCTACATTATTAATGCTTTGTGACTTGTGTAAAATAGGAGATGTCATTACTCAACCTTGTATTACCTAGGTTTTGCTTTATCTCTTATGAGGACACAGTGTGACATGTAGATGTTTACGGGTTCCATAAATATTTTTCTGTTGAGGGGTCAGTAATTTGTCAGTAAGATTAAAGCAAGATAAGGCACCTCATATGCATAGTCCCTATTTTTGTTGTGAAAAAGCTAATGTTTAAGAAGCTAAAATTCTCAGATCCAATCTACAAGATATATGCCCTTCATTTAAATTTAGTTTTCGTAAATGCAATTCAGATCATTTTCTTAGCTAAGCAAGTTCTTAGCTACCAGAAAGTATCAAGGTATTTCTACTAAATGGGAGATATGAACTTATGTAGTAAAATATAAGACAAGGTCAAATATAAAAACAGTAGTATGTCACAGAAGAGTTTGAGGCCTTTGAACCTATTTGGGGAAAAAAATGACTAGATATTGTCTGATAAACATTTTTGTGGATTTTAAAAATCACAAGATTTAATGAAGTCAAGATTTAAAAAAAGCTCCATTCCATTCTTGTCTGTCTACAGACATCCCGAGAGATGTAATTTGTTTTATGCATCTTCTCTAAATTGTTACCTTTGTTTTCTGTGTGCTCCAGCATCTTTGTTTTGGATGTGGTGTTGACTTATATTGATGTATTCAATGTATGTGGAGCAGTTCAGTGATCACATATTAACTATCTTCTGTTAGGTACGTCTGCAGCATGTGAAATCATTGAACAGCTGCTTTAATTAAAAAAAATTAGTGCTACAGTCGGCACTGATTAGTGTCTAAGCAGACATATTTCTTCAGTGATACACACAATCCTGGCATTAGCTGGAATATTATATCTTAAATATCATACTGAAATTATACATACATTATACATATTAAATGAGAAGAATTACAAAATGGATCCAGTTTTATTAGGCAAAATATATTAAATGCTAAAAATAGCCTGAGCTAGTTTTAAGAGCAAAATAGATGATAGACACTCACTACTTCATTGTTAAGTATGTAATATAGTATATGTTGGTTTTGATCTCCATACATGCATTTTTTTTCTTCTACATGAAGTACTTGTGTGTATGTGTTTAATAAAACAAACCACAAATGACCTAAGAACTGACTATTTTTATTGTGTTGCTACAATTTCTTAATACTTTGGAGAATCTGGAATATTTGCACCAGTATCTAGTATTAGAAAACCAATGACAGGAATTAAGGTTAATTCTGACATCTAAATAGTGAATAATAGTAGTTTATACTAACTTCATACATATATTGGCTATACTAGTAAGTTTTTTTTTTTTTAAATTTCTCTACTTGGTAAAATGCTATTCCTCATATTTCAGTTGTTCTAATCAGTTAACCTTGACTTTAAATATTGAATCCTGTTTGCTGTTCTAACCACTAGATAGTCATTCAGAAACAAGAGTAGGCGTCAGGATACCTAGGTTTTATTCTTGGCCCATCTACTTACTTGTGGTGTTATGAGAGACACACTGCCTCAGTTTCCATATATGTAAAATGGGTTTACTACACCTTACCTATCTTGTAGCTGAATATTGAGTCTAATGTGTGGGCATTCTGAGCTTCTTTGATGAAAGTTGCCATGTTAAGTGCAAAGTATCATTGTTAAATATTTCTTGCTTCCCAGAATGGACCTGGAAGCTCTTCCGTAAACTGACTCAGTTTACAGAAGATGTTCTTACATAAAGTTTGCTACTAATTGAAAGGCTACAGAAGTATTGTGTAGAGATCAATTTAAAAGAGCCCTCTGCTGGAAGAGATCTGTATACATTTGCAAAAAGAAAAGGAGTACTTGTGGCACCTTAGAGACTAACTAATTTATTTGAGCATAAGCTTTTGTGAGCTACGTTCTTGTTAAACCCTGGATTTGTGCTGGAAATGGCCCACCTTGATTATCATACACAATGTAAGGAGAGTGATCACTTTAGATAAGCTATTACCAGCAGGAGAGTGGGGTGGGAGGAGGTATTTTTTCACGCTTTGTGTGTATATAAGATCTTCTAAGCTTTCCACAGTATGCATCCGATGAAGTGAGCTGTAGCTCACGAAAGCTTATGCTCAAATAAATTGGTTAGTCTCTAAGGTGCCACAAGTACTCCTTTTTGCGAATACAGACTAACACAGCTGTTACTCTGAAACCTGTATACATTTGGTGTGTGAAACAGCTTATTTGTTTCACCTGAGCTGATATCATTGTAGACTGTAGCTTTTCAGGGAGACTGGTGTTCTAAACTGGCCCTCAGACTGTTTCAGAGGTGAGATTACACTTCCTTGGTAGTGGGAAGGCGAGAGAGCACCATTTTTTCAAACCTCCTACCTGCTGATTAGTGGTAACTGTGACCTTAAAGGAAGCTTCTTGCCCTACTAGTTAAAGCAAAATTGAGTGCAATGATTTACGTAAAAACTTCCAGATCATACTGGAACAGGAAGAGGTAACTGTTTAAAATGGTAGAGAGCAGGGCAAAATTCCCTTGGGTGAAGAGATGCGTGAAACCTATGAACTTTGTTTGAATTGGTCCAAAATAATTTCAGCTTTTTACCTGGTCTGGTGAGAGATCATTTGGCATATCCTAGTTGTGGTTGGGTAAGATGGAAACTGTGGTGTTGGCCCATGAGAAATATTTTTTAAGTATCATGCAGCTTTTCTTCATAAATACACAAATTATAAATATATAGGGAATCTGTGTGTGCGCGTTTTCAAAAACTCTTTCACTGCCATCCCTTTAATCTTCCTGTGTTAGCACCAAAGCTGATATTTTAGATTTTTTGTTCTAAAATTTGAGGGTTAGAGCTATTGAAACAAGTAAGTAATCTCACTGGCAAGAATGTACATTCATATTTCAATGATTAGTTGCTGACTGCTGTTGGCAGCACTCATCAGTTAATGTTAGTGTGGCAATGTGTGCAGTTTACCAGTAGGAGTATCCTAGAAAAAGGACAGGCAAAGTTAGACCATTATATGCCTTGCAAAAAGTACATTTGTTGTAGATATGCATTGAGAAGCACAATAAAAATATTTAAATGAAAGTGGATAAAGGACATCTAAAAATTAATACTTCAGTATGGAAACAACATCCTGGAGGAAGGGTAGGAACAATTCATTTCCAGTTTGGTCATACAAGACACTGCTTTTGGGGCAGTAAGAGGAGATGCACTGTGTCAGTGTTTGCTAACTAAATGGTTTGGTTTGCTGAATGTTTCTTGGGTTCTGCATCATTTATCTGAAGTGGAGAAAAATTCTTCTCTCAGGTCTGTACAGTAGAAACTTGACTTTTATATTCTGCTCTCCCAACATGTGCAGGTCTCCTATTTACATTTATGGATATCTACGCATGTACAATATAAGAGCAAAG